CGCCTATGATGTGATGAGTTCAAAGCATTTAAGAGGAGATGCAAATTATGCCTGGCCTACTGCAGAGGTGGCAGTGATGGGTGCGAAGGTAAATCCAGGCTGACTCTCACACTGGTGTGCAGCAGCCGTCAGCGCCTTTACAGCATCACAGAGGCGGCCTAGCAAGATGACGACAACTGGTATTTTCCTTGCAGCAGCTCCCCTGAATGCACGTTTGTGTACTGTGGTGGAGGGAAGGGGCTGGTAGAGCAGACAGGTTTCCTCTGTACGGGCTGAATTACTGTCACTGACCTGTAGGCTTTACCTTTCTAGGGTGCTGTCCAGATCATCTTCAGAGGAAAAGAGGCAGATGCAGAGGCAGAATATGTGGATAAGTTTGCAAACCCCTTTCCCGCAGCCGTGAGAGGTATGGTTATCTCACACGTTGTGTCCCCTGTTTTGAGTTTGCCATTGCACGTAGATATATTTGTAGCTATTGAATAAACTTTTTGCTAATGAGTAAGTTCTTTAGGCAAGATCCGAGTCAGAAAGGTGATGCTTGACCATAGCTTGTGCATGTGAAGGAAGAACATATCTGGGCACAAAAGACATCTTCAGATGGAAAGAGACTGGTGAGATGTGGGGACTGCACTGGAAAGCATGTTTTCAATTTTGTAGATACTGGAAAGCATCTCAAAACTTAGCCTTTTCCTTAAGAGTACAGGTGCTTTGACAATCTATTTGACAGTCCTAGATACAGTCCAGTGGCCTTAAGAGTCAGAGTCTAGTTCAGTTCAGTGACATTCCCCAGGACTCTTTGGAGTAAATTTTTCCAGTTTTTACTTCCGAATTTTACTTCTAGCTTTGAATCATTAAGTGTGCTCTAGAAGGCAGTTCTGTATCTAGAGTCAGCTCGCTCTGTTTCCAGCCATGCTGGCTTACTCTGTTGATTGGTTTTGTACTTCATTTAAATCCCGTTAATAGTGCCACAGAGCTGGGAAGACTTAGCCAAGCTGTGTTCCACCACAACCACTAAGTAGGGCATTGCTCCCTCTGGATTTGCAGTAGACTATCCAATACTGCTGTTTGAGCCAGAAAAAAACCCAGACTCCTGCACGTGCAAAGTCAAGGGATGTCTCTTCTAATCAACACTTCTGAACCTTTAAATCAGACTAATAGCAGTAGGTGGAAGGAGATGGTATGTCTAAAACTTTGCAGTAACAGGTGCAGTACTCAGTGAGTAAAGCCCCTTCCTTAACATTTTTTGTCTTGCTAACTTTTGCAAAAATTAAAAAAGTAAATATTTCTAATTTTAAAACTATTGACACAGGAATATTTCATTTTCAGGCTATTTTAAATTATTTTCTTAAGTTAATTTGTAACTTTTGAACTGTTTATTCCAAATATTGTTTTGATTTTGCTCATTTACATTACAACCTAGATATGGAAGGCTGAGGGGCAAACACTTCGTGGTTGGTCAGGGTTTTTTTGTTTGTTTGTTTGTTTACAGGGTTTGTTGATGATATCATCCAACCTTCAAGCACCCGCATGCGCATCTGCCATGACCTGGATGTGCTGGCTAGTAAAACACAGTCCAATCCCTGGAAGAAACATGCTAATATCCCACTGTGAGCGTGAGGAGAGGCTTGGCCATGCTGGAAGACATGGCAGTATTCTGAACACAAATACTCTCTGTTGAAGTGGAGGTCTACTTTGCAATGGAAATATTTCTTTTGATTTTGCTAATGACCATCAATAAATCATAGTACATATCTCATTTAATTTGGGGTCTTATCAGTTCATCTCTATAAACCCTTTTTGGTGGGTTAATAATCAACATGACCTGCAATGCCTGCTGCAGGCGAGCTGTTACTAATTGCTTAAGGTCAAATGCTCCCTTGGCTCCTTCATTCTGTAGCCCCTGGAGGTGGCTCGGACAAGCAGAGCTGCCGCGACCTCTCACCACTGAGCAGTCAGACCCCTGTGGAGTTCAAGTCTAGTCCTGGTCCGCCTCTGGAGTCTGACTCTACCTCCTTCACCACAGGCTCGCAGAGAGAAAAATCCTGAGCTTGGATTTCAGCGCACTGCAAGCCAGGCTTTGCCAATCTCAGACTATTCTGTCCTGTTCCTCTGCTAGACTGTCCTGAGTTGCAACTTTTATGTGCTGGCTGCAGCAATTCCAGGTCTCAAGTTGGTATCAATGACCTCCAGGTTGTAGGCACAGGTGGGATAGAGAAGATGGAGCCAGACTCCTCTTGAAGGACAAGAGACAATGCACCCAAATTGGAAAAAGGGCAATTCTGGTGGGACATAAATATTCTCCCTGAGCACAGGGGGCTTTTCTCCCTCAGCAGAGGGTTGAAACAGAGACCTCCAGAGGCCCCTTCCAGCCTGATTTTTTTGCATGATTATTTGCCAGACTTGCAAGGAACCAAGTAGATGTTACTACTGATCAGCCCTGGGCCCTGTGCTTGCTCTGTTCATTAGAAGCTGCATTTTAACTACAGTGTAGTAGTAACTAGAAGGTAGTGAGTAACGGCTACTGCAAACAGCTACCAAGCACGTGAAGTCCTGTAATGACCTGTCTGTTGTAAGTAACCTCAGTAATTAATGGCACTATATTATAAGACAGAGAACTACCCTACCTGCACACGGCAGCTGCTTCTGTTCACTCCCCAAGCACGTGCCTGAAGTGGAAAAAAGATAAGATGGCGACTTTCCAGCTAGCATCTCTTCCCAGACAGGTGCAGCGGGGGGGAGGGGGGAGGAAAAAAACCCAACAACAAACAAAAGGCAACAACTAAAAAATCATCTGAAAACACAGTACAGAAGGAGCATTTCAAGTATGAGTCCCAGCTGCATAGATTTTTGTAATAGCTAGAGGCAATGCTGTCTATCCTGGTTGCAAACACATTTAAGCTAGCTGCATGAACATACGTGGTTGTATCTCAGCAGAAACTCTCTCTGAGCAGGTGCCTGTACGTACTGCCCCAGGGAACAGAGCTGGCTGCAACAACGCGGGAAGGTAAACTGAAATGTTATTCTGTTGGGGGTCATTGCCATGAAGTGAGTTCTTAGTTAATTGTGAGAAAAGGTGTAATCAGAGTTTGTAAGGACCAAGAGGATTTGTCAAAGATAATGAGTAGCTGAGAGAGTGGCTGGTGGCTGTCCCAAGTTTAGAGGCAAAAGCTGTGTTAAGTGAAGCAATATGCACATAGTTTCTTCAGCCTGCCCAGAGTCAGGAGACACTAAATGAGAAACCCAGTCCTTATTGTCACAAAGAAAAAAAGTACAACCTTTCTTAATTGTTTCCTAACCTCATTAGTTCTATAGACTTCATCCTCTCTTCTATCCCTTGCCAGCACAAGAATTTGACTTATAGCCTCTCGATTTCCAAGCAGTCAGTTGCTCTACCAGCACAAGGCTTTGGAAGCACACTGGAAAGCTGCTCTGGCCACACTACTCATGACTCTCTTGAATTCCAGTCACCTGCAGAAACGATAGATATAAAATAAAATCCTTTCAACAGAGAGCAGCCCTTGAACTTGGATGACAAGTTACTTACTGCGTTCCACAGTGCGTCAGGAGTTGAGCATAACTTAGAAGTAGCTGGAGATTCAGCGTTCGGGCTGTGTCTCGGGAGTAGTCCTAGAGTGCAGTTCAGACCTTGAATCCTATCCCTGTTCCTCACCTGCTGCATCTTGCTACGTTTTCTGACTCGGATGATTTTTCTTTAGGAAGCGAGCCAGATGATAAGTAAGCCAATTTTCTTTAGCGCTACAGAGATGAAATCATTCATGGGATGGACAAAAATAGCACCTTTCTCTCTGAGACATGGGAATAACAGGAGGACATTTAGTTTCAGGAATCTGTAAAACTTCATTTAGCCCATCTGGCTGTTAGACCTTCCAAGCCTTTACCACGTCCATTTCTTCCCACGTGGTCCAGTTCACTTCAGACGTACAGGACAGGAGAGTGAAATTTTTCTCAAAATTTGTGACAATTCAAACAATTATAAGTTTTAACAATGCAACTCTCCCAACTTGTGTGATGACTTACCAGATTTACAGCAATCTCACAATACACCCCCCCCCCCCTCAACCAAAACCCCAGAAAACACCACAGTGGAGGGGAAGAAAAAAAAAAAAAGACCAGACAGGGTTTTCTTTTGCTCTGAGGCTGAATGGGTAAGGTACCTGTATGGAATATGGTTGTGAAGCCTGGACTACGTGCAAACTACCTTTCAGTATTTCCTTTGGCTACTAATAAATGGGATGACAAGATGTGATGGTCCAAACGAGCATTTAAAAGAAAGTTATAGTGAAGAGGGTGCTCATCATACTCATGATTTTGAATAGTTTATTAAATGAAAGGTGAAGCATCAGTTTTAAATTGTACAAAAGGAAAAAAAAACCTCATATTGTAAATGTACAATTTACAGAATTACTAGCAAAACCAATCAAGGAGACACTCATAATACAAAAACCTATTGACTGCAAACTGAACTGGAAACCCATTGCAGGTACCGTGATAATAAATGTTTGTTATACAGTATTCTACAATGTTAAATTAGGAATCAGTTTTCCACACAGAGGACTGTGAAGCACAAGGTTCGTCTGAGACTATGACTCAAACCAGGCAGCATTTATTATGCTACTATGCTCACAGAATTATTGTGATGACAGTTTAATGCAGCCATTCCTGCCCACCCCTATTACATTTGAGGTGGACAGAAGAGGAAGGGAGGTAACGTTATTTTATAAAGTTCCAGCTACTTCTCAGGTTTTATACGTTACCCTACTGACATCTAAGGAATGGCTGAATTACCTAGTCAAACATTTTTGGCAACCATGTCTGAGAACTGCACGTGTTGTAAGAAACAAACCTCAGCTGAGTGAAACGCTGGTTTGTTTTTAAAACTAGATTCTTTTCCCTCCCAGCAAGTAAGCACTGGGCATTAATGTTGTTTTGTTTTTCAATAAGCTCGTAACAGAAAAAAGCTCCATGATTATTTTGCAGTTGCTAAAAAAAGCACCTCTAAAACTGCTGTGCTCCAAGTGGGTCAATCTGCTTTGTATCTCAAATGCTAATATTAGAATGCAGAAAGGAAGATTAACGTTTTGGGGCTGATTCTTAGAGATACTAGAGTCAGTGCAAGTTGTGGATGGCCAGCACCTCTGATATCAGGCCAGTTTTAACTAAGTAGCAGCTACTAGGCAGAGTCATAAAATCGAAGTATAATGAAATTCCAAATTATTGAAGACATCGAAAAATCTCTTATTACAATGAATTAGCTGAGAATGTTTTGGGTTTTTTTGGTTTTTTTTTGATGTTTTTAACTTTTTTGAAAAATCATAATTTTTTTCCAAAGAATTACTCTTAATATGCACAGTTAACACTGAAAATGTAGCTGTATTCCATTGTAAGCTTAAGAACTTCACCATCTAAGCACAAATTTCTATGCAGCACATACAGTACTTCTAACTGGCAAAATTAATTTACAAAAATAGCGCAAAAGGGTATTTACGGCATGGAAAGTAGACTTTTTTATGGTACAGTTAAAATTGCTTTTAGTATGCTAAAGTGATTCCTTTCCCCCACCCTTGAATTATTTTTTTTAATAGGAAGGTTGCTGTTTATGTACCTTGGGTTGGCAGGGCTTGAAGTAGGTAGTAAAAACAGCAAAGTGATTACTTGAGAACCATTTGTGTGTTTTACTGAGAATACTTTATTTGCTGGTATAAGTTGCTAAAAATGCACAGAGCAAGTACCAATAGAAAATTTACTGTTTTTGTGTCCCCATGTGCTATATAAAATGAATGTTACACAGCATCTGTTGGAAAAGTGGCTTCATGGACATCTCTTACTTTATGTCCCATTATAAATAAAAATAAATCTTCTCAAGAGTATAAAATCTGGGTTTATCATATCAGAATCTGAAATTTTTTGGCAGAGATGCACGTCATTAGAATTCTAACCTCTTCTATAACAGTGTTCTTCTCAATGCCTATGAGAGGATATAAGCGTACCATAATGTTAATCAAATCCAGTGTGTTCAAAAACACTTTTCTGTAGCCAGAATGACCTGCTTATAGCATCATTGCTAGTCAATGGCTGATAGGCATAGGTTTAATAAAAATGGCTAGCTTTTAAAACATAAAAAGGCAAATGTTAAAACTGTTTTAAATTGTACAGCAGAAAAATAAAGTTAAAAAGTTCTGTTTTCACTCAATGTTGTTTTCAGAAAACATATGTAGAACAGTGTTTATTTTGACAGCTGTCTTAACAATTTAAAACTTCCTCCTCATCCAGAAAAAAAAAATCTGTATTAGGACAGTCAAGAACAGGGATACAAATGATTTTTTAGGTCAGCCCTTCTGAGGTGACTGGATTGGCCAACATTCCTTTGTGTCATTAAGAAGTTCCTCTTCTTTCTGTCACTACAAAAAGGGATTGACCTCAATCATTTGGTTAAAAATCAAACCGTATCACATCAAAAATGTGGTTTTCATACAAGCTATCACAGTATATAGGCCTCTAGCTCTAAACAATAGAGTTCCAAATTTGTAAAATGTCTTCACCAGACTTCAGAACATAGGCATTCCAAATCCCTAGAAAAATGATTTGAAAGACAGTAGTTAATTAGGTGTAATGATAATCAAAAAGAACCTCAGGTAAACAGCAAACAATACTAGTAAAGCCTTACTGAATCATCCTCAATGATAGCTGCGGAGTCAAAGAAGTCTGGCCTCAGTTCAGCCCGTTCTCGCCGGTTTCTTGAAGGTGGCTAAAAAGAGGAGTCAGCCATTTTAGAACATCGCATCAGTTACCCGGGTATAAAGGATTCATGTGGCTCTAGAGCTGATGGCTGTTAACATGGTTACCTGTTCCTTTACAAAGCAGCTTTGCATGGATTTTCATAAAAGCTCTGATACAAATGTAGGCCCTGACATAGGAGAGTACTTCTTAAATTCACATTTTATTTAAGGAACGGGGTAAAAACTGATGGATTCTAAAGTAATTTTAAGTCTGTGCTCATAGCTAAGGACTTGCTTAAGGCTCTTGCTGACTTAACGATGTTCTTGCATTAGGACTGTAGGCCAGACTGCATAAAAACCTGTCTTTTAACTGTCCTTATGCTTTTCAGTTTATGGTGAAACTTCAGCTCTGACATGGTCAAAAAATGGATTTAGGAAAAAAAAGGTACTTAAGATTTCATAATGTTTTTGAGGATTAAACCCTAGGAACATAAGAGTAAATGTGAGCTTCACTGGCTTGATCAATTCCTTCATTTCCTTGCCTTGGATTACCAATAAGAGAGAGATTTTACTTACTTGATAATCATTTGAATGCCAGTAATAACCTCAGTATTCAGCAGCAGCAACTGAATTATTGCCTAAATTTTCTTTCCAAGACATTATAGCCCAGTCCTACAGTAACCTATGCCTTATTGTTTGGATATGAAAGGAGAAATAGGAAAGCATAAAAATGGTGAAGTGTATAATGCAAGCTGATCCTTTTTCCCATTTTACAAGGAAAGTATTCATTCCGAATGGAGAGGCTAGTAAGGTTATAACCTTTACAAAGGAAATCCTGCCTGGAGTCAGTACATTACCACGAAAGGACCTGAGGTTGCCATCTGATGATACGACCTGTTTGGGAGCAATTCCAGTGTAAGGTATTGCCTCACGCCCACCCACTACTGCCTGCTCTCCCTTCTGCTGTGCCAGCACAACTCTGTATGGCTGTAAACTAACCAGACCTATCCCCGCTGCCTCCCAGAAACCAAACAAACCGGGAAACAGAAAAAGAGAAACAACTTGGCTGTATCGGTTTGACCGTTCTGTGGCTGCATAAAGAGCCGTGTCAGCAAAAGAGTGAGTGATGGCTGTGACAATAGCATAGGGAAGGCAACAACACCTAGAATACCTTTAGATGATACTGTTTCTGAACTCATGATAATGCCAACTAACAACTGGAATCAAACATTGTTACTGGATTTTAGGGAGTCCATTTGTACTTCCTGAGGCCGAGCAGGCAGCTTTGTGTAACATTCAATCAGATGGGGTGAGCTGGTCTCACCTCCATCCCCCACCAGCACTCCTCCTGCCCTTGGCTGACTGCATGGTGAGTCAGATCAGCTACTTTAGCGCTCATCTAAGAGGGCTGCACTGCTACACCTGATATGCTATAAATCATAACCTGATTCTCACAGGTTGACAAGTCCCAGGTGCACGACAGTACTTCAGGCAGTTGCTAAGGCCCAAGTCCAGAATACTAGAGAGGAAGAGTGCTAAACAATGCTCCTTGTCTTTCTATGAAAAAAATCAATTGGGTCCAAGTCTGCAGCTGTAGGTTCTAGGGCGTATTCAGATCATTTCCGCTCTTTAATGTTCAGACAACAGGAAATCAGGCTCAAAATTTTGGAAATTTTTGTGTTTTTAAAATTCCTCTTAAATTATCTTTCATCCATTTAAAATTTGCTATTAATAAGATTTACTGACCAGATCAATGACCATTGTGTCCTCAAATTCTTCGTTCATATCCTCTAGCTGACCTCGTGAGGACATCATTACATCTTCAAAAATGGGCTCAGCGTCATCTTCCATTAGACCTCGTCTGATTAAATAAAGTGAAAGAAAAAGTCATTTCCAGGCATTTAAATTTCCCAACCATGATCTTTGACATTAAAAAGAATGCACAAATTCTATCCCTTAATGCCTTCACATAAAAGCTTCTGCTGAGAATAAAGCCAGCATGCTTTCTGTAATGTTAACTGGAAAAAAATCATACATAAAAACAAACCTAGCACTTGCAGAGGCTAAAGCAGGAAGTCCCGTGTAATATCATTATAAATAGTAATTAAATTTGTCCCTAACAAGAAAAGGGCAATAACCTCAGTGTGTTTGCTTGCCCTTCTCCTAAAAAGAGTTACACTGTTTGCCAGGATCACTGGTAAATCCCTGGGAATCCAGCAGTGAATCCAAGACCAGTTTCTAACACTGTAAGGACTTGGTCTCGGTAAAGGCTCTGGCCCCCATCCTGAAAGATGAGCTGAAAGACTTGGCTGGATCGGCACCAGAGCACATAGCACCTTGTACAACAGAATGCTTTGGCGTTCGCCCACGTGTGTTCCCTCCATTAGCTGCTCAGTGGGACGCCTTGGCAAAAGATGATGTGGATGAAAGAAGCATAAACAGGTTCACAGGAAGACTGGACAATAAATTGGAAGAGTTCATGGGGAATTACTTAACAGACAAGTCATGGAAACCCCCTGAAATGGAAACAGTTGAAGGCTGGGAGAGAATAATGGGGAATTACGCCATGTCTGTCTGCCCTGTTCACTAGGCACCCGCTTATGGCCACAACTAGAGGCAGAGCGCTGGGCTAGAGGGCCACATGGCCCGGTGTCCATTCCAACATTACAAAGCTGTTACTCTGCCTTCATTAACAAGAGTTAAAATGTCACAGAAATTACTGGCAACAACCCAGAAAAGGTAACATGTAAAATGTGGCATTGTCATCTAAAATGGTTCTGATCTGGAGATGAGGATGCTCTGAACACTTACACTGCATGCCTTACACCAGTTCTCCCTTTCATGTAGTTCATTCCTGTCCTGTCCTTTCGATTTAAATCTTCTAGCTTCTGTTGGCCCAACCAAGATATCTGCATCTGGGGACTAACAAACACAAAGCAGCATTATGACTGAGAACACTAACAATTTTGAGTTGGCTATTTTTAGACAATATCTATCTCCTCAAGTTTTGTGTCTGGCCATACTTCAGATTAAGATATTTAAATCACATCCATCATTGTACACGTCTTCTGGATTCCCTTCCACAACTTGTCTCCTCTCACTGTATGTGCACAAAAAAAATCCATTAATTGTTGTAATAAAAACAGCTACATAAAATGCTACATTACTCATTCATTAGTGTGACATGCACCTGAAGTGGGAGCTCTTCTAAAATTAATTTTATTAAATCCTACTTCACTGTCTCAGATCAGGCAAAATATGAGCAAGAATTAATAACTGACACACATTTTAAAACAAAAATGTCACACAACATGAAAAACAAATTGCTTTTAAAGATATACCCTGATCAACTTAAGCATCCAGTAACTTATCTGCATGTAAGTACCTTAAAGGCTGTAGTTTTAATACCATCTAAATCCAGTAGTAGACAGCAATGCATTTGATATGATTTGTGTATTGCAGCACAAGGAAACAGTAGTAACCTAAGTGCAGCTCTTCAAGAGCAACACCAGGTTTTATTTTATTATGCAGTCTCATACTCTAAAAAGATTGACTTAATAAACTGGGATAACCCATGTGAAAACAACCTAGGACAAAATATTCTTCTGGACATTATTAGCCCCATTAGTCCAGCAACTGACTGCTCTGTATTTATTTTACATTTTGGCTCTCCTAAGCTGACCTGTAGGAAACGCGTGGGGCAGCTAACTCCAGGCTGAAAGGAAAGGATTCTCCACTGTCAGTTCACACTGTGAACTTCTCGCAGCATTCATCTGAGAGAGGAGAAACGAAGGTTCGAGCCCTGGGTGAAGAGCCTGGTTCAACTTCCCCCCCCAGAGAAGGGGAAGGTTCTCCCACAGCTTAAGGCAGTGCCTGCCATCTGGCTCAGGAGTAAAACGCAGTGACTGGAAGCTGTCCCACTTTCCATAACTAATTAAATGTTCGCAGAGAGAGATTTAGCTTAGTTGTAGGCGAGATCAAAGAGGGTCAGGAAGAAAGTTCTGCTTCAGCAATTCTCTTTGTTTTGTTTTTACTGCAGAGTAGAAAAATTTTAAGGAGAAATTGAGAGCCACAACATCTTCCTTATAATCTAGAAGTTATGGCAATATCTGGGGAGGCAGGAGATTGGGAGGCAAATCCTTGACCTCAGAAAGGCAAGTAAGAGACATCAACCCAAACCTCGCATACCGTGGGATTAAGGTGAAAAGACACTCTGGGACTGACTTGCAGTGGGAACCGGCCCAGCCAGCCTGCCACCTTATCTCACACTGTCTTACGGTGATGTTACATGGTTAATATGGGGAAAGAAAGTTGGCTGAACTAATTTATGGAAATGCCAAACATTAGGTGCTTCAAAAATTAATAGTTATTTGTAGCCAGCTGAGCTGCAAGTATCTCTTGTGGTGGGCACTGATGAATGGATCACATCAAGGTTTAATCTGTTGCAATGCTGATGCCTGTGCATGTTACACACACAAGCAAGGGAGAAGAGCAGGTGATGCTTTCAAAAGAGAACACTTCTTTAGAAGTCACTCAGATTTTTTGAGAACCTGTCGTCACAAATTGGCAAACTTTAATAGCTTATATGTACAACATGGTGGTATACATATACCCTTGTCATTTGAGACTGGAGAACATTTTACCTTCCCCAGGCAAAATGACCATTATTAATTATTTCTACTTAGAAAATACTATGATTGAAGAATGCAGGATGAAGAAGAAAAGGTTAGGATCGAACAGGGTGAGTGCATATCAAAAAAACCACGATGGACAAAAGCTGGAGGAAAACCAAGAGGCATAATCTGGCTATTTTATACTATACTACATTAGTAGAAACCTGATTCATCTGGTCAGCATATTATGACTTTTTGATACAGATAAATCAGATCAGTAAATCTGGCTGTAACAGTTATAAAACAGTCTCTGAACCAGATATGATTTTGTATCTTCAGATTAATAGAAATATCACATAATTGCATTCTACTGACAAATAATAACCAATATTTTTCCCCTCTAAATGGATGTGATAAAATGGGAGTTTAGTGACAAAAAGTATATATAATTTAGGGCAAAATAAAATTGCCTGCAGGCAATTATCCCAGAAACAGGAATTACTAGCTCAGCAGCTAGACTTGCACTGAAGAGTTAATTTACAAGAAATCAGTTAGGATGTCTGGAGAACCTTAACTGTACTATAACATAGGGCAGAGGGAAAGAAAAGAGAACATCTAACAGATCTTTAGAGAAACAGTTCAATCCAGCCTGGGGCCACAAACACTAGGAAGATTTAACCATAATCGCATGGTTATGCTATGAGATAATTTTAACATAAGGAATTTCTACCATGATTCCATTACAACATATTTTTCCTGGGAACTGAAAATAATGGAAGTATTGCTGAGCTATAGCCAAGACATTTCCAGTTGGTTTTGCAAACAAATGCTGCAGTTATGGAGGCACAGACTATCTGTATAAATAATATGCAACTCTGTTGTCTGGCTCACTGTATTTGAAACTGAAATTCCAACACTTACTTGTGTAAAAAATCTTGTTCAGATCCCTGCTCTGACTCGTGCTCCTGGATCTGCTCTCCCATTTGTCTAGTGTTCTCTCTCAAGACAGTTGAGGTGAGCTGTGGTGCTTGCAGTGTCCCTGGAGTATGTATGTTTTCATTCCTGTTCAGCCATGAGCCTTCTAGGCTCTCATCTAGAAAAAGAACATTTAAAATTACTGACACAGTTCTGATAATATGCAGTGCAGTATTATTGCCTTCAGGTCCGTTCAGCCAACTCGCTGAACGAATACCTTGCGTTAGTAACGAGAGCCTTCCATCTACTGACACACTTCGATATAGTTACTTTTAGTTGCAGCACCTTCTCCAAATTTGATTTTCAACAGTTCAGTGTCTTTTAAAACAAGTGTGCCTTTAAGAAATCAACTGGATAAATACTCAAAATGATAAAATTTTCAGCTCTAATTTTATTTTGTGTTCTTTTAAGGAAGGATTACTACCAGCTATTCTCAGCAATAACAACAATTTAAAGTAGAAATATTTAACAAACAAACAAACAAACACCCCACTGTAGACAAATATTGTATTGCAGCACTACCTAAATTGTCATGTCTTGCACACACGTAAAAAAAATAATTCCCAATTATTGAGTTTACAATCTAAATATAAGACTGTTTATCTCATATGCATACAGCAACCAAGATATAGTTGAACAGTAAGATGAGAGTGGAGGATAAAACCCCAAATCTGGTCAGCATAGATCTTCAGAAACTTCAGTAAGAACCATTTCAGTGGAGTACAGAGAGGACATTTTAAATAAGAGAAGTGGTCTGGCTGGTGTGAACACTAAATAGTGATTTCAGACAGTGTATTTAGAGTTCAGAGCAGATAGGAGGAATGGAGATGGGAAGGTGATTGAAGGTATAAGCGGGATGCTGTGCTCATATTGTGAAGGGAGCAAACCAGAGAGGAAGGACGAGGGGGGACTTGAGGAGACTGTGATAGAGCAGACAAGTGCGTAGGCAAGAGATATGTAGAAAGAAGATTTAAGTTGCTGGAGCAAGTGAAAGACAGGGGAGATGACAAGAAAGAAGAAGACAAGATCACAGATTTACTAACAGGAAGACGTGTGGTGAGAAAGTAAGATGGGAATCTCAATGGATCTTTTAATTTTTCCTACGTTTTATTACCCTTTGGACATAAACGTTGTCTAAAAACTTGCCTATTTATTCTCGAATTTACCTTTGAACCTTTTATAATGTTAGAGATTTTTTTTCTAAATCCTATCCATGTTTGATTTCCTTAAGGCATTATGAAGAAATGCCACAGAGCAGATTTACTTTCAGTAGCAACATCTGGATTTAGGTGAGAAAGGAACCACAGGGGACTAGTTATGGTTCTTTGATGCAAGGATATGCAGTGACCCTGCCCTTATTTTAGTTTCTTTAGAGAGGAATTTAAAGAAAAAAAAAATCTTAGCAGGATTTAAATAGAGGCCCACATTTGTAACTTTATTGCCAGATTAAGATTAAAGCTAGGACGCTGCAAGAGTTATAAAAATATGTAAAGATGAAAACCCAACAAAGACCTGTGTACATACTACATATAGACCATCAGTTAATTTGTAGGCTGTTAACTTTAACCAGCTGCTTGTTAAGGCTGGTTCTTCATAGCTCAAGTTATACAGACAAGTGAACAGTAAGTACTTATTTCTGAGGATTAAATCTCTGATTATTTCATGAGCTCATTATTGGTACATACAAAATAAGACAGAAATCTATGTCTTCCTGTGAAAAATACAGACAATCTGGCTCCAAGTTTTCTGGGCCTTCCTTTTTCCAATATTCAAAAGGAAGTATACTTAGGGCATAACACAATCAGTAATGCCTACTGCACATCAAGAAGCATCCGAAAATTAAGTATGTGGTGTCCTTCCAACTGTTTATATTATTGTGAGGCTTTTTTTAACATATGATATCAAATGTCCTGTATCAATACATGTCTAAACCAAGACTTCTGGTGCTTGCATTGCATATCCTTCTATGTATGGAAAGACCATAGAGCTTGTGTTGCTGCTGTCAGTAGAAAGCACTTGCTGGTAACTTTTCAGTTCTATCATCTACCAAGCAGTCAAATTCTACAATAAAGGCATCTATCAAGGAAAAGACAGTTATACAGTTACGGGCTAAAACAAACAACAATGAGCTATACATCCTTCCTGGACCCATATACTGAGGTTGTATAGCAAAGCTTTCATAAGTAATGAAGGTCTACATAGTGATCTATGAATTTAAGGTCTATTAGGTTTCACACTGAAGAAAGGAGAGTGGAATCACTTGCTAACCAGTGTTCAAAATGTGATGTCCTTGAATGTTATACTGTGACTCAGAGATGTATTTGCAGTATTCAAAGGACGTGCCCAAACCCCACCCACAAGAGTACCTCATGTGAGGCAGTGTTCATCAGTTCTTTTTCTGGCCACAGATTACTAAGAGGGGAATTTCGGGTTACTGTAGTGAACAGTGACATTAGACCACTCTGCCTAAGGTAAGATAAATTCTGGGTTTCTGCTGATGACACGGTGTTGGTAGAATGTGAACAGACCCTCATATCCTCTGTAGATGTCTGAATCCTGTCAGACCCGTAGTCTGTATTACAGCTAGAGGATCTCCTGGTGGAAAGTGCTGTACATTCAGATCTTTCAGGAACTGAACAAATAGCCTACATAATTTTTAAGTCAGTGATGTTTATGGAAAATTCAAAACCACAGCTGTTGCAAAGAAAGGGGATATTCAAATGTAAAGTGTTGCAGGTCAATTCTCCCTTCTGCTGATCATTGAAAGAGGAGGACATGAAAAAGCATGAGGCAAACTGCCATAAACACTACGTTATAAGATTGAGACTTGCGTTACAGAGGCAAAAGGAAAGAAAAAAACCTCAGCAGTTGAATTCTGTGAAAAACATGGCATCCTGAAGGAAGCAAAATAGTGTTTGAAGAAAGGAAGCAGTATTTTATCTACCTAAACTCTGGCTGTAAGAAACTGAAGGACTTGGTGCACGTATCGCTCAACATAAGCTGTAGTGGAGAATGGACCTGATTGTAGATGTGCATATGGACAAACTTTTCAAGAATATTTTGGGAAATTGCTGTATATTCAGCCATTAGATTCCTCACTGAGGAGTTACTATCATAGATATTGACCTTGGAAAAATTATTGAAGTCTAAAGATCACACTTACACCTACTCTGGAGTGAAAAAGTAAATTTATATTCGCCAAAGTACACACTATATCACACCGATTAACCAAGAACAGATGCAATCTTTGAAGAAATTGGCTATCATAGCCAAATTCCTGATAAACATGCCTGAAGTCACAGAAAGAGTAAATACAGACACTGGATGTCAATACTGTTTTAAATAAAAGAAGGTGTCTTTTTAGTGTTCTCCAGTGGTCCTGCAAAAATACAGATCTATATCAGAATTTCTGCCTTGGGTTTGCTCTAACACCCTGTTAATTAACAACGGCTCCAGACTGAAGCATAGGCAGAAAACCAGAAGTCCATGACCGAGAAAGGTGTAGAGCAGATAACTCCACAACCTCCTGTTTCCAACTTCAATAATGGCTTTTAATAGTTCTGAATCTGCAAATCCCAGTGAAGACGGACAAGAACAGGCACTCACAATGGTATTTCTCATAAAGAAGTGTTCAAGCTTGATAGGAATTTGCAGAACAGATGTCTTGTTTTTATTACATACAGAATATATCATATATTTCAGCATTAATTGATAAACCCTAAGGGCTCTTAGGAGCTGTAAGGCCTGAAGGAAGGCTGTAATATATGTACAAAATGAGAAATACCTCTACCAGGCAACCTAAAACCATACAAACCTTCTACTCTCTTTTTGTGGAGCGGTGGTCGTCCTTTCTTATTCCTCACTGAAGAGGCTTTGCTGCTGCTGCTTCCACTGTTAACAGACATTCTGTCGTCTTCACCACCCGTAACTAGTGAGTTTCTATAGGAAATGAGTGGAAGCCATACATCTTCTCTTCTTTCCATCATCTGTTCTGTCAGAAACTTCTCTAAGTAGGAGTGACTGAAAATAAAAGACAATGAGTACAGAGGCACAGCATATTGTTTCCTCTTTAATTAATCTGCAAGCCCTCTTCACATTGTTGAAAGTTTAGCACAAATCCCACATGGTGTTTCCTTATTTTAGTTTAATAACATATGCTGGCATAGTATCTCTGACTGAATAAGCATACATGTCATTCCCTCAAAACAAAATAACATAGTTAATCATGCACAGGTTACTCACAGATAAACTATAGAAAACGTTCTCTCCCCAACATCTTCCTCCCACATTTGCCTGTGATCATTCACAGCACACTCTACTTGAATTCCTTTTCTATTTTGCTTAGTGAGGAAGCCACTTCTATATATTGCTACTGTGTCAACAGACAGACTGAATTAGAACCGCTATTGTGAGGATGTAGGATATCCTTTTGCATCTTAGAACAAGAGAAATGGTTTCCTCAAATGCAAGAAGTTATTTTTCAATAAAAAAATGGAAGATCTGTTCCACTGCCATGGAGAAGTCCAATGCACGCTTGTTAACTTACGGGAGGAACCAAACAACCTCCCTTCTGTATATGGTCTGGAGGGCATTTGGGTTGTTTTATTTTTCCATTGATTATTTAATTATGATATTGGAAGTAGTCCTTAAAATGAATATGCAAATCCACATGAAAGTGATTCTAATTAATTTCAAGCTGCAGAACCAAGCATTCAGAATTTAGGCAAGAGACCTCAGGATTCTTCAACATTACCTCTGCCCTTCCTGCAAATACATTAGGGTGCACCCTTCAATCATGATTTCATTTAATACCACGTTGCCAGGTTGTCATCAAGCGGGAGTCAAACCCACAAATTCTGCATGGAAATGAACTCTCAATCTCCCTTTTCCTCTGTTAGCTCACGGCAGGCTCAAACTTCTTATGTGATCTAGGTATCAGAATAGGACAAGGAGCCACACTGTATATGCCTGGGTAACAACCACATCCAATTTTTAATGGGATTTTTTTTCACTCAGTGAACAGGATGACTTTGCTCAAGAAACAACAGTTTTTCTGTCTACTGTTCTATTCAATATTGTGACTGCTTCTTCCTTCCCCTTTTCACGTGTAAACTGAGTAACATCCAAACCTCGCATTGAATGGGAAATTATTGGTTTATTCTCTCTCTTTTACAGTACCAAACAGTACAACACTTGAGTGCTTCATGACTTTAGAGAATTTATCTGCAGAATAGTCTTGGAAAGTAAGAACTTTTCCTGCATCCAATTTATATTTACAAAACTAGACTGCACAGGTTATGCCTGAATTGTGAAGAAGGAAAAACTACACCACTTGGGGGTTCTTTACTGATTAGATGCCAAACTTCATACAACTTTTGCTCAGCATTTTAGAGGAGCTTCATACTGGCAGTTCTTGCCAGCTTCAATGAGGACCGAAACTCTGAATTTCTGAAGTAAGAACACCAGGCTGAAGCTCTGTCCCATCTGACTTAAGACACTCAACAGTCAGTTGTCTAGTCTAAGCTAACAGTCTCTATTTGAGAGAAATAAATGGAAATAAATGCCTCCACAGGGCAATTCACCTCCTCAGCATTTCCCTGCCTGTATCTGCCTTGTGTGTTTGTAACTGCGTTAGTACAAACCTTTTTCTGCCAACTGTAAGAGCCTGGCACCTTAAATGTATAGTTTATATTAAATCCATAGCTTTGAATAAATCCATAAATGGCTATCACTGATTCTGGAGGTTACTCATAAAACAAGAAGCTGAATAAATAAATAGGATAGGAAAACTAAATTAAACAAATGCTGCTGCCCCATTCCCAAGCTGGAAACGTGTCCCTTTTCTCCATCAAAATAAAAAAGCCAGCAGTAAAGCAGAAAGGAAGTAGAAGCCCTGCAAAAGAGCAGTGTTTGCTGAACTGCGACAGGAATGGTATTTTGCACCAAGGGCAGATGACATACACAGACATATCAAGTAGATAATTCATTTATTTGGGTTGGGAAGCCAAGTTGGAGGACAGGCAGGTATATGCTCATGAGGCTTTCAGGGTTATTCTAGAGCACTTTTGCCTCCAGACTAACAGACCATTGCTGAGTTTTGAGACAGTCACTGGGCAGGAGGAGATCAAGCCGGGGAGGGAGGCAAATGATCCTGTGCACAGGACTTCTCCACCAGATGGTGGTCACGTACCTTCCTGTTCATAGGCAACCCCTTTGGAGGGAGGGGGAGAGGTCCCTGTGGATTGGAGGAGTCATGCTACAGAGAAGGACAAATCAACCCTCCAGAGTATAGCTGAGTACGTAATGTCAGTGAAGCACCACAGGCAATGCAGCCATTGCGTGATGGGTGCAAACACGACAGATCTCTCAAGGGAAGGAATGCAGATATCTCCAAAAGAAATCTTTACATATAAGCAAGTTATCTTGACTCTTTTCACAGTCACCACTGCCAATGGAATCTAGAGCATGTCTCAACTCATCTTAAAGCAGTAGTAATTTAGCACACATCAGACAAATCATGTCCTAAAGGGCCTATTTCTTTTCACTCATCTTCGAATCCAGCTGAAGTAAATAACTCAGGTGACTACCTAAAGACAGCTAAAACCAGGAGAAATGGACTCCATCACAGCAATCTTTACAGTCCTGCGAAAAAGCCAGTGGTTGTGTATGTGGGCATCAATGAATGGAGAAGGAGAACCTTTGAGAAAAAAATTTAAATGGCAACATAGAAGGCTAAAGAACAAAATCTCCTGAAGTACTGAATTTCATGCAAAGGATCAGGTCAAATTAAGCTGACGCATAAACTGTACAGAATGATGTAGCTTTAAATTTTAGACACTGGAGAAACTTGTGCAAGGGATGATTACTGTACAGGAAGGATAAGCTTCACTAAATTATATAGGAATCAGGCTAATGACACAAACTAACAGATGCAGGAGAACCTATGGTTCAGCTAGGAAGATAGTAATACAATCCTATTATCCTTAAGTCCTGTCCTGAAGAATAGGACAGAGGTTGACAAGATTCAAGGATATAACAATGAAGAGCAGTTTCAAAAACTGAGTGCCAAGCTAGCCCAACTGGATCATCCACTTCTCAAGCTCGTTTCACTATTTCTTCTACTGTGTTTGCTGAATTAACAAATATTGATGCAATAAAAAAAATAAATTGGTTCAAATGTGTACACGGTAAAAATTATACAAAGTTAACCAAGATGCATTTTTTATAACACAGATAATTGTACGTAATTGTTAACCCTAATAGAAAAGTCCTTCAAAACAAATGTCTTCACAGAAAAACTACAGAAAAGTTTGACAAAAAGAATCAGTTGAGGTAGTTATAGTAGATACATATGACTTACACTCATTGTGGTCAGAAAATTGAATGGAAAGATATCTATAACCATAAATCAGAAGATTTGGCAATTGCGTTTTTTAAACAGTGATAAAGTTATTCAAAGAATTCAGTTCTACACTGGGCACGTAGCGCTTGCCTGATTTTTGACTGGAGCCCTCTTCCTTTTTCCCTTACTACTTCTGCACTGTGGCCAAATCCTGGATATTTGCTACGTACTTATTTGAAATGTAGAGCGTTACCTCCGCAGTGATGCTGACAACATGTCTTTAGTCCGAACTTGCCCTTACTAATGCAGTTTTCTCTTTGCCCATTCTGTTGATACCCACAGCCTGTCTTGACAGTCTGTTCAAATGGTCCTCATAAAACAGTATTTCTTGCTCTTTATTCAGATCTTATCAACAATACCTCCGATTTATTACATTTCCAGCATTTCATCTGCAGTAATTACGCGCTGTAACAAATTCAGGCTGCTTGTTTTAGCCTCCCAGGTCTCTACCACCCTGTTCTGTCCTAACCAACAAGTCATGTCTCTCAGCCTCTTTCTTTATCCTGTTGTGCCAGTAACAGAAGCTTTGACAAACCTTTATTTCCCAGTTTAACTCAATATATTGAAATAAATATTGAAATAATGTTTACATTTTATGTAAATATCTAACAGAAACAGATGTTACTGCAGTGTTTACAGGCCTGTAGATTTCCTGCACTGCTAACATTATTTTCTTTTTTTCTTCTAGCCTAAAAAAAAAAAGACTGTTTTTTATTTCCAGTGCCCCATGGGAAATTTTAAGGAACATTGTTTTGTGAGGTCTCAAGCTCACCTCATCAGTGGATCTGATTCTCCTTTTCTCATTTATTTTTATTACTTTAAAATATAAAACGATGAATAACTATGTATGTGAAATGTCTCACTGGTACTTCCTATAGCCCTCATTAGATTGTGAAAACCTCAAAGCAGAGTGCTTAAACACACGCTACAGTGATTAACAGAGCCCAGCAAAACCCACAGAAGAAAATGGAGCATTACTTACACAGTCTTTTTGTCCTGTCGCAAGAGTTTAGAAGAAAATTCACTAAGCACTTCAAGGAAAGCAAGATTAGGAGGTGGATAGTCTTGTCCTTTTTGATTCTGATATTTGAAGGCAAACTCTATGCCATCTCTAGTAAAGAAATATTAAAATTTTCAGACATTTGTAACAAAAAAGTCATCCATCACTTCTAAATGCTGCCAAAAATCTGAACTGTGATGAAATTCTTTATATACCATTGTAACTTTTTTTTTTTCCCCCCATTACTAGCAAACAGCTGTGTTTGGACAAAGGGGAATCAAATGTTCCCTCTCAATTTGTGAGGATTGAATCTCAAAGACAACATATTGCCAGTCACATGGTAAGAAGGAACTTATCACAATCTAAGAAACCTGGCAGGTGCTGAAAGCCACCCCCTTAGCAGGAATAGCCAATTGGCTCTTTCTTGTTTCTGCATGAAGCAGAAGCTTGCAATAAGAATAATACGTAAGATATAACAAGATATAACTTTTGCATCAAGAGTCAGAGAAGAGAATTTACTTACCAATACATTGATACATGCATCTCTGCCTTATCTTTGCTTTATCATTTAAGACTAAAGAAAACAATTTACTTTCACATTGTCCAATAAGGGCGCATGCATGTCTTGACTTCTCTTTTGCTTAAAGTGTCTGGTAGCATTTTGATCATGTTTTGCTAATCTTAGTCTTAATGACTTAATCTCTGAGATAGCAAACTTTAATCTTTTCACCTTTTTATAGCACGGGAAAGTCATAATTTAAATTTAGCAGCACCTTTCTATACTTTCCTACGCAGCACTGACATAAAAAGCTTCAATCCACTTTCAAAAAAAGATTTCCAAAATATTTTTGGAATATCTTTTTATAAAAGCCCTTGGTGCCTAGAGAATCCACAGTGGTCTGGTACAAAGAACTATCTACAGTTGTTAGATACAGTCCACACAAATATGTATAATACCACTGGCTTTACCTGAGATAGATAAACATGGCCATTCCAATAAATTCCAACAAATAATTAGGTAGCAGCTAGTTTTTCTTCCTTTCTTACATACATACATGTACACTGCCCACCATTTTTCTACATAAACTAGAAAAAATATATCATTATTCCAGGACCTGTTAAGATTATGTACCTTTAGAAAAGGTATGCTGAGCAAAAGTTTTAATCTGAAGTAATATAAAAATCTAGTTTATTTACCACCACTCACTTGTGTAGTGTGGCCACAGCCTCTCTTGTCTTGATCTGATCCAAGCCGAAAGTGAGGGCAAATCGACGGGCCAGTTCCTTAATTCCACTAACATGGGCAGATGTCCTGTCCAAATTGGGACCTTGTTCCTGAACAAGCTCATTAAACAGCTAGAGAAAGAATTCAACTGTTAAAATCTGAGGTAGAAAACACTTCTTGAGTAAGACTTTTGTTCTTAAGCAGTTACAGCTAGGAGTGGACATTACAACTTTTCTCACAGAGATGTAACGGAGCTCTCTTACATTCAACTTCCAATCCACTTCAGTTCCCAGACTTTCTTCTGTGTAACTGCTGTTTGCCAATTACCCCCATCTTGTACTTGTGCAGATGATAACTCTTAAACAGAATTTTGCACTTACCTTCATTGATTTGCATTTATTATTCTCCCAACTCATCAAGATGGTTCTGCATTCTTATGCTGTTTTCTAAAATACCTACATCACCCATCAGATCAGCATCTTCTTTGAATTTAGGAAGCAAAATTGCTATTCCAACATTCAAGACTTAATGAATACCTGAACAGCATTACTGGGTAAATGCCTTCAAAGCCTGCTTGATAATGCCCTTTCAGTACAATAATGAACTACTCAGTAGTTTTCCAATCAGTTCTATATTTTCTTCTGGTATTGCCATTTAGACCACATTTTCCTAACTTGCTAATGAGAATATCAAGGGAGACAGTGTCAGTGACAATATTAAATCAAGTTGCATTAAATCTACTGTTTCTCTGATATCCACAAGCTCTGTTACCATATAATTAATGAAAGCAGCTTAATTTGACATGATTTCTCCTTGACAAATTCATACTGGCTGTTACCTATCACTTAGGCACTTGCAAATAGCTTGTCTCTTTTTTTTTTTTTAATGAAATTATATTAGGCTGACTGATCTATGGCACCTGGCTTCTTCCTCTCTCCAAGTTTTAAAGACAGGAGCTACTTTGACACTCGCTGATTCTGCTGGAAGTACATCTGTTTTTCTCAACTCTTCACATCTCTCAGCTTCCAGATTGCTACAGGAAATCCCTTAGTACTCTGGAATGAATTGTGGGAGGCCCAGCTGATTTCTTGAAAACATCTAATTTATGAAAGTAATTTCTCTATGTAACGGATATAGCTAGTACTTCAAGGGCCTAAATGGTATTTAGTGAAGCACACACTTTGTGCTGTTGGCAGAACAAGGATGGATTTCATCATCAAGCCAATAATTTATGGTTGATACAAAGCAAATTTTTCAGGGAAAAAACATGTTTAACAATATTGGAAGACTTAAACTAATTAGCTTGAAGTTTGAAAAATCATTCAGTATTTAGACAAAATGTAAAGAAGATGCATTATTTCCAGCTAATTATAAGAAGAAAAAGTCACCCTAATTTTTCTTGTTCACTAGGTACTAGTAAACAAATGCTATGAATCAGCTTGGACCAAATTGCCTTCAAGGCTCTTCTCTCCCTTTCTTCCATTTTAATCTGACCAAAACTTTGCCATTGTGGGCTTAAGGAGACAGAGATTACAGAGACAAATGAACAGTGACAGCCTGAATTGAGGAGCAAGATAATCTCTTAACAGAACTGTAGTATTTTTGCTTCATTGTAAAGTGCACCAGAGAAAATCCTGTCCAGTATTTTTTGCAGTGAGGCATTTCTAACAAAAATCAATAGTCTTACCTGTTGCAAACTGAGAATGAGTGTCTTTGCACACTGGATTTTATCAATTTGCCTTGTTTTGCTCAGGGTTTCCTTAATGATATCTCCATAGTCATTGTAGTACTAGGAAAAATGTGGAAAAAAACCTCTTTAAATTTTAAATTGAACCTCTTATACAATTTCTTACAGTTTTCCTGACAGAAAGATTACTTGTAATTCTTGTTGTGAAAAGGCAGCAGTTGCCAAAAA